TCTGAAGGAAATCAACTCCGAGTACTCACTAAAAGGACAGCTGAGGCTTCAATACTTTGGACAGCTCATGAGAAGAGAAGACTCCCTGGAAAAGACCCTGATGTTGGGAAAGTGTGAAGGCAGGAGGAGAAGGGGACAACAGAGGATGAGATAGCTAGACAGTGTCATAGAACCTGCCAGTATGAATTTGACCCAACTTCGGGAGGTAGTGGAAGACAGGAGGGCCTGACCTGCTGTGGTCCATGGGGTCACGAAGATTTGAACATGACTTAAGGACTAAACAACAACAAAGTAACATTGGTTCCATTAGCTTAAATTGGAGAGGGAAAAACTTGCAGATTTGGGCAGACAGTTTGTACAAGCCCACTAAGTTTGGAAAAAAAAGTTTAAGACATCTTCCAATTTGGGGAAGGGCATAGCGGGATAAGAACTTTGGTAGTGTCTGTTTTCTCATGAGACACGGATCAAAGAGTTCTCCCATTTCTACTATCATTTCAGTAGACAATATATTAAAGGGAATCCATGTGCATGCAAAATCTCTGGCCTCTGTCTAGTCTCCAGGACAATTAGGAGTAATCTTTTAAAAAAATTCAACAAAACTGTATAGCTCTCTTAAATGTTCACCATCCTGTGTATTATCTCAATTCTGAAAGTTCTGTCTGTTAACTTTATTTTTGTTGAAAGCCACAGCCCTATAGAAAAGCTAGGCAGTCATGTATAAATATGGAACTTAAAAGAACTCTTATTACATCAATATCACATCCTGTGTATTTCATGACCTCAGTTGTAGCAGTAGACCTGGGTCACAGAACAGAAATTTCATTATATTTTTTACCAAAGTACACAAATACATTCTTTATGTTACCAATTGCAGAACTAATTGACAACCATCATAATTCTACTGATAAATAAATAATTTGTTATTGACACATTCTGATTTACAGTTTTGGTTTCCATGAGGATCACCAACTTGGGGAAACATGCACTGTGGATTACTGATGAAAAAGACCAGAAGAACATTGCTAAACCAATTAACAGCTTTAAAATCACAGAATTAATTACATAAAAGTCAATGCCTTTTAATTTGTATAATTGATTAGTCTCAGTTTATTTTTCAAAAGACTATACACCTTAAAAGGTTAAAAAAAGCCAATCCGTATTACTTTCACTGGATGAAATAAATACTGAACACTATTAGAATTGTCACCACTTATCGATTTGTCTTGATGCAAAATATAACCTTAACTTATTCTTTCTGAAGATCTCTAGTGTAATATATATTAAGCTGTGAGCAATAACACTTTGGATTTCTTTTCCAAATTCTTTTAGAGAGAGATTACTCTATATTTTTATGTGTACAAGAACTGGCATGATCTTACAGTTGCAAATAGAGGGACAGAGAGTTCAAAGATGTTGACATCTATTTCACAGAGAGTGCTTATGGTCAAAGAAATGCTCCTAGGAAATATAAATTTTTGGTGTTTTCTGAAGAACTAGATAGCATGTAATTAGAACTTGAATTATAGCATTTTCCTTTTCAAGGTGCAATGCTTCCTTTTAAAATGCTGTTCTAAAAAATATCATGCGATAGGTGTTTTAGGGTGCAGCCTTGTACCGAAGATCTGCCTGGTCAGCATATGACAGTAGCATAACTCTTTGGCCAGCGTATCCTATTTCAGTGCTGGCCACCAAAGAGGGAAAGTCCCTTCTGTAGCAACCAGGGTAGCAATGGATACATTCGCTGAGAAGCAGAGTGTGCCTTCTCTTTCTGTCAGTCCCACCATCTTCACGGGTGGATTTGATGGGGACATAGGAGAGGGTCTTCTCTGTTGCTGCTCCCAGACTCTGGAACTCCCTTATTGTTTTACCCGTAAGAGATTTCTAGGAGGGGATTCATGGCTTATAATCAGATAAAAAGAATATTGTAGTTATGTTGCCAGGATGACTATATTACGTAATGGGAATATTAATGATTAGAAGCATTTGATACCGTGTTTCCCCAAAAATAAGACAGGGTCTTACATTATTTTTTGCTCCAGAAAACGCATTAGGGCCGCTTTTCAGGGGATGTTTTATTTTTTTCCCCATGTATAATAATCTACATTTATTTAAATACAGTCATGTCATATTCTTCTGGTTGGTGCACAATGATGGAAGGCACGGTTTCACTTAACTAGGGCTTATATTTGGGGCAGGGCTTATATTACGAGCATCCTGAAAAATCACACTAGGGCTTATTTTCAGGTTAGGTCTTATTTTCAGGGAAACAGGATATTATATTCTACATTATTTTGGCTTCAGATGATGGTGATATGAATATTAAGCATATTTTAGTAGAGAGAATATTCAGAGTCAAACTGGATAACACACTGACCATATATTGGTGTGTTCCTGCTAGTGTAGAAAGATGTCTGTCTATCATAGCATGGGATCTCCTTAACTGTATATTTTCTTAGAGTGCTTTTTTGGTGACTGGTCATTTGAAGATAACACACCTATTTAATTTGCAAGTCTGGCTGCCAAGATATACTGTGTATTGCTAAGGAAACCCTGTTGTGGAAGGAAAACTGGAAAAACATTCAGAATATGCAAATTTCCCTTAATATTTGGTTTGACCCTAAGACAACATTTCAACTACTGAAATTTCTTCACCAGATACTGTAAAACAAACTGTGCCAGTACTCAGTCAGTAGATAGCAGCAATAAAAACATAGGGAAAAATCACATTTCTTCCTTCTGCGTGCATAATTGTATTTTGTGGGAGTCACTGGACAATTTCCAAGCTGGCACAAGGAGGTGTTACTGGATGCCTCATTGTACAACTTTTGATAAGCTGTACAACCTTTTTTGGAAGCTGTATGACCACTCATGATATGGACCATTGTGTGAGCGGAGGGAATAAACAGAATTCTGCTATAGTTGCTAAAGACTGGTCAAATCCCTGCTTTATCAGGTTTATAAGGCAGACTATAGGAAAAAAATCAAGCTGTTTAAGCCTACATAGAGTCTAATAGAATTTGTATCTAACATAAGCCTTTGTTTATAGACACCAGCTGTACTCCCTTTATAAACAAAGTTTTTTTGTTTTTGTTTTTTAGGTTCAGTTGCTCTCCGAAAAGTTATTTAACTTGGAGCTTTTGAAGAAATGGGAAGAAAGCTTAGAAAAACAGAAGAGTGAACTTCTAAACCAGAAGGATGTTCTGCTTGAAAAATTTGTATGTTTCTAATGATGTTGTTTTAGAGCAATAGCCTTTCAGCTTTTGGTGAAACATGTATTTGGATATACAATTCTTAATTGTTATAATTTTTTATGGTGGTAGTGATTATACTGCAACACAAGGTAGTTCATCCATGGTGGCTCTTGATCCACCAATAGAAGCTCATTTTAAAAAAATGTTTATTACTACTTAGTGGTAAAGAATTAATTAACACAATAATAGCCCTCTCCAAGCAGGGGAGTGTTGGTTGATGATTTATATTAGCTTGGAGCTATTGCGGTTGAAATGGCATCAAACTGCTAAAACTGTCTACTGTAAAATACAGAAAGGCCTGTAATCCCAAAGGATATTCTTTTCAGACCCCCACCCCCTGTGTGTGTTTTTGTGTACATGGCATGTATCTTGACTTCAGGAAGTGCAACACATAAGAGCAGTCACATAATCATTCTTTCCACTCCTATAGCTTCCACTTTGCCTGCTTGGTCTTACACTGTGAGATTGGTCACAAGATCTGTTGTGTGACAGGAGCCTGCCAGAGTGTGGGGAGTGCTTGCAAAACTGTCCTTCTGCTCCAAATAAGCTAGTGGCTCTTATATTTATATAATGCAATTATATAAGAACAAATAATGCAAAGTGGCTCTTATATTTATATAATGTAATTATATAAGAATAAAAATGCCTTGGAAAATGCAAAGCACATTTACAGAGACAGCATTTGTGGGAGGCTTTGAAGTGTTGAGACTGTAAGAGAGCATGCTCTAAAAGAAGTTGAGGAAGTGAATTTTGTTTCCCTTATATTCTTCTTTCAATTTTCAAGAGTCCCAAGGTAAGTTAAACAATATCAGGAGAGAAACACAGTTTTCTGCCTATGCTTACTTTAAATACACTCAATATGTTGCACAGAACAATATTTCTTTAACTTGGCCAAAGTGTAAATAAAGTACAGTACACTGAAAATGGATTAAACCAAACAAAAATGCTATTAGCATTATTAAACGAATATTACACACTGAAGACTTAATATATGAACCCTCACAGTACAAAGTATTTGAAAATCCAAAATAACAAATATTTTCTTCTTCTTTGTTTACTTTCACTGTTGCCACCCAGATTAAGATCAGATACTGTACTAACCAATGAGATACTAACCAAGTACTCCACTTGCAGAAGGCTGCGTTCTTTTGATATACTAGTGCCACACTCTTAACTGTTTTACTCCTGCAGTAGAGATGCCCTATTAAAAGCAACAAGGCTTCCACTTGTCTAGAGCAGGGGGCCCCAAGCAGGGGTCCATGGCCCGGTGCCAGTCTGTGGGGTTGCTGGAACTGGGCCACGGAGACAGATCTCCAGCCCTGCACGGTGGGGGTGTCATGCTCACGCGGGGGCATGTCATGCACGCAACTGCATGGAGCCCCCCCCCAACTGGTCCGCAGTCCCAAAAACGTTGGGGGCCGCTGATCCTCAAGGATTGTGAATTCTTTGCTGAGTAAGCTCTGTAGGAGCCCAACCACTCACACAATGGGCTGTTTGGTGAGCAGAAGGTACAAATGGGATTTTGCCCTAAATCAGTGAGTACACAGTCATATTCCAATAGACTTGTTAACTAAGGTGTATCCATCATTCTACTGTAGTTTGTTACTTAGGTGGTAACCTATTGATACGTTTTATGGAAATACACACAGTGGCCCTGTAGACGCCCATGCCCATGTTGTCTGAAGGCTCCAACCAAAACAGTGTGATGATCAATATCACTGTGAATGCTTCTAACTTGTGCAGCCACAAAGTTAAAGCTTGCAAATAGATAGCGAAGGGCATGCTCAAGATACCATACAGGTATGAGAACTTAATAAGGGATGTTCCTATTGAAGGTTTTACCTGTAATGATGTTGCAGAATGCACAGACGTTTTATCAAGTTGATAAAACCCATTTCATTATAGGGCAAAAGGAGGCTCCAGATGTTATTGCTAAGGAGTGATTGGGAGAGGCTTTCCTCTTTACATTAAAAGGAATTGGCATTGCATTTTTAATTCATCTTTTTGGTGTCAGCATACTTTAAAATGGTTTATTTTAGGCCTGAAAATTCATGTGCTATAGCAAAGGTTTCCAAGCTGTGCTCTGAGGCTCTGTGGGGTACACGGAATCTGAGCCAGGGCTGCCATGGGAAAAGGGACAGAACATAGAGCTATGAAGGCGCTGTTCATAGCTCTATATAGAGGAACTCATCATAGCTCTGCTAAATAGGAACCAAAAGTGAAGGGCATGTAACTGCTTCTCCTTGCTCCATTTCTGTGGTCCTTGATGGAGGTGTTTGCTGTTTGGCTTTGTGTGTTTCCTGTGTCAGGATCTGGAAGGAGTTGGGCTCTTAGGGATATTTGGGGAGGGGGAGATAGCCCCTTCATGGATTGCTGCCTTGTCAGGGATATTTGGGGAGGGGAAGATAGGAGATGGCTGGGGAGGAGTTTCATGATCCTGCCCCCAGTGGCAGTGAGACTCCTCTGAACATGGGGAGCTGCAAGCAGGGGTCAGTAAATCAAGGGAGCTGTGTGTCCAAAATGTTGGGGAACCACTATACTATAGAAATGTATTAGGTCTTCAGGTATTTGCCATTTGTGATATCCCTTTAGTATTTCACTCATTGTAATAAATTTGGGGGATGTTTTATACTTATTTACTGTTTGCCCTATCAAAAGGATAATGTGCTCTGAGCAGAGATGGGCATGAACTCTCAGTTCAGTGGTTTGTGTCAGTTCATTCATCAGCTGAAAAGGCTTTTGGTGCTTCCCAGTCTTGTCTCCTCCGGTGGATGCCGATTCAGAGGCAGTGCCCTGGCTTCCTTGCGCTGCTTCCTCCAAGTTCTCCCTCTGAGTGAGTGCCCGCCAGAGGAGAAGGGGCTGGGAAGTGCCAAATACCTGTTTGGCTGATAAATGAACTGGCACAAACTGCAGTTCATGCCCATATCTAGCTCTGAGACATGGGTGATCTTTTAAATAACTATAAACAGCCACATTTAGAATCACAGTTCTTTTATGGGATTTTTAGTACCTTCTCCTTTTCTTCTAAGATAAATTAATGCTTTTATATTTTTATTCACTTAAAAAAGATTTCTTTTAAAAGACATTAATCATTGTTTTAAGGCATACACCTCTGTTCATCAGTAATTTTTTCTTACCATTAATGGCTTTATGATGCTATTCATTTCCATAGCACATCCAGTATAAAACCTTTGCAGCATCTGTGCTTACAAAAAAAAAACCTTGTTAAGTAAGGCTTTTGTTATTTCTTCAGTCATAACAAGCATCAAACATATTTCCCTAACTAAAACTCCCTTTGAAGTAACTACTGTACTACTGAAATAACTGGAGTTTATTTGCAAGGAAACATTGTTAGGACCACATAGTAAATGAGTGATTTGTCCCTTGTCCATAACCAACAGAAATTGAAACCAAAGCCAAGATTTAAAACTTTTTGTGTCAGTTCATATTTTTTTAATTTTGTACTCCTATATCAGATTACATTTTGTCTTAACAAGATGACATATCAATAGGCCACCACAATGCTCAGAATTCAGTTTTTTTTAAATAACTCACAGAATGGACTATTCTGCACCTGGTTCATATTTTCACATTGCTTGCATAAGGGAGGTTTGTGTGTTTGTGGTGGGGGTTTGAGTAAACATCTGCTTTATTTTAACAAATTGTTCTTTTTTTATATAACTGATCACATCATTAGATGACTACAAAGAATATAATTGCCATGGAGCATGTGAAATTTTTGAAAGAAGTTACAGACTTCAATAATGAATACAGTTTAACATCCAATAGAGAGCAACTAATTAAAAAAAGAGCTAAGGCTGAAATATGTGAATTAGAAGAAAAAGAAAGCATTTTGAGAAATGGTATGCCGTGAATTTAATTATTTTATTTTGAACTATCTGAGAATATAAACAGCTGTTCATTGATACTACAATTTTACAATTTTCTTCCAAGATAAATCCTACTAAATTTTAAGGTACTGTTCTGCCTAGAATGAGGAGTATCAAGCATGCTAATCACCAGTTGCAGGGACTAACAGCTGACTGTGTTGCTCTAACCCCTTAATGCTGCTGGACATAATAGGTCAAACAAAAGACTTTTGGTTCTTCCTGCTCCCGTTCACTGTTCCATCCATAATGTACTACTAGTAGAGTAGTTAATATACTACTGGTATAGAGC